CTTGGGAAAGCAAACAATTAATTGCACCTTTCCCTTGATGAGACCGCATTCAATGCGGTAAGGCTCGAAAATGAAAGGCATTAAATGCTCCTATTACAGAGCATTTATTGCATCCTCCCCGAGAGGAGCACATTGAACCGTCGGCACCCCAACGACCCAGCATTGATTGCTCGGGACCCCGAGCAGTTAATTAGAGAAGACATTCCTCATCAGAATCAAATGTACACGCTACCTGTGCCTAATGATCACCTACTGACCACACTGACAGCAATCATGAGCTTTTAAGGTATAAATACTCCTTGCAAAAGACAAAGCGGGTATGCAACAAAAAACTCTCTACTACAATACATTTTTCTCAGTGTTTTCTCCTTCCTCTCTCTCACTCAAAAGACTGACTAGACCGTCGGAGGGGATACGCCGAAAAACACTCCGGCGCCCTTCTAACTTGCTCTTCTTTGTTCCAAGAACCCCTTTCATCCTCACAGGATCGTTCCTCCTACCCCAGGGTCTCCCGTTGCCGTTCCAGGTTACCACTGTACCTTGCAGGCTGTCCTAAGCAGCACGTTTGGTCACTCCACCCGCTCACTCGAGTTCACCAGGGGAAAGATCTGTTCCCGTTTTTTATATTGTGTAGGATCTTGCACGCACACAAGTGTCGTGCTGAAAATAATACATCACGACACAATTGACACCCATAAATTTAACATGTGGCATCACCAAGTAATTATAACTCACCACATAAGCCTATTAATCTCACCAAATTCAGTAACCAACAATAACCATCACACTCCATAACCACCACAATAGATTTGGCAAAGTGTGATGGTTACTGTTGACCTCATATGCTAATGATTGATGTGATACATCACTGAATATTTAATCCTAAGATAGAGAATGTAGTTAGTAATTTCTTTATATGCCAAAAAAGGGCATGGTTCCTTGGTTGTAACCAATAATGTAATACACCCTGTCTTTTTGTACTATTTTAATATGAACCATTAAATTCATTGAATATTTAAAGGTTAAAATCACGTTATATCAAGTAGTGTAACTAAGATAGTACGCATATCATTATTGATTTGAAATACACGAACATAAAATCTGGGTCCAATCTCATAATTCAAGGACAAGTTTATGGTACCCATAAAATAAATAAAAATTGGCATTGTACTCTCTCATTTATTGCGGGTATTTTTACCATTTCTGTGATTATTGTTTTTACCATTTTTTGTAATATTTAACAATTGATCCTAAAAATGATTAAAAAAAACAAAAATAATAAATCATCCACAAAAATTATGAATTTTTTTCTTGTAAAACAACCCCCAAAAAATTGTAAAAACACTGATTAAAATAGTAAAATTTAAAGGTATGGTACCGAATTTTTTTTTTACCGATAGTCAAGTCCATAATTCAAACCAGAATGCCTTTCTATGGTCTGGGGAGAGTTATCATCCTGAGCGATGAGTGAGGAACGGTCTAGGAAGAAAGCGGAATAGACCCTCAACAAATGGAGAGTACTTTTTGTGTGTGTGAGAGAGTGAGAGATGGCAATTTCATTTTTCATGTTAGTCCTTCATACCTAGCTTAATGTTTTGAACTTTAACGGTCAGTTGCAGTTTCTGCTGCTCAATATCTTTCAAAACTGAAAGCAAGTTAGCCCGATATACTTCACATTTTCGCTTCGCACGCTCCAGCTGACGTGATAGTTTCTGTATTTTCTTGTCCTGGTCATCCTGCAGAAAACCTAGCTATTTCAGTTTCACTAGCAAGAAGAAGAACATCAACTACCATATCCCACAAGGATGACTATCTACTGCACAGTCATTGGTGAAAATTCATTTTACAACTTAAGTATGCACACATACATAAATCATAATGATTTCTACCTTGAGCAAATAATCGAGTAGAAAGAATGCCAACATACAACAATTATTACTAACAAATTACACTGCAGTCCATCAATCTGTTATTTTGGGTGGTCAGTCAGTTGATCTGTTGACATAAAAAGTTATTGTTTATATTCCTCGAGGCTATCTAGGAGAAAGTTCTCATTGAATTAGTGGAAAATATGAATATCCCAAAACGACTATGATGCTTGCAAGGCCAAAACAAGATGAGAGGACAGCAAAAATTTGAGAAATGTTGCCTAAGTATTGAGAAAGCAATTAATTAAAGTGACGTATAATAAATAAAACATTAGACAACTCACCACAGAAAGAGGTTGATCCGCACCCCATTGATGATCCCCAGTGGTGCTTTTTGCTAGACTTCCTTGAGTTGCACGGTCTTCGCTGCTAGCTACATTGCCGGAAGCTATTTTCCCACCATTCTTCTTAGCATTAGCAACTTTATTTGCAGCCTCTTGTAAAGAAGTCATTGCCACATTGTAAATCTCTACGGTCTTCACACCTTCATCTACGAACTTTAAGGCTTCATCACGAAGGTGGTTGTACCGGACTGTAAGAGATTCTCGGGAACTGTTCAACACATCGCATGTACGTTCCTCCAACATAACTCCACTCTTGGCACTTCTAGTCCATCGTTTTAAAACATAGTGAGAAGGTAGAGTAAGAATGTTTGTAACCCTAAAGACCGTCAATATGTGTCTACAAAGAAGACCCGAGAACTCAAACATGTGGCAGCTACAAGTTGCTTTCATCTCTCTAACATTATATCTAATAAAGTAAGCTCTATGGCTTTCACCAAATTTGGCAACTCGGTAAGTGGTGATGGCCTCGTCATCCTCTAATTTGGTCGCCACGAACGTAAGTGTCTCCACCAATTCCTCTTGAAACTTGATAAATAATTTCCTTGTGTAAACCTCGGCTGCTTGTTTCTCCATTGGTGATGGAGTCTTTAAAACTAGGGCAGCGTTCATGGTATCATAATCTGCCTTAACTTCTTTCTCATAGCGACTTTCCAGAGCCTTTTCATACTGCTTGACAAAAAGCTGCAGAGTAGTTGATGCATTCACATAACCATCAAAGTAAGAATTCATGCTATCACTCCGTTGTGTTATAGACATTTCTGCAAAAAATGTGTCCCTCAAGTAAGCTGGGATCCATTGTCGGCGATCAGTATAAATAAGTTGAAGCCACTCATTTTCACCAAGGTCATATCTATCAATCAGGGGCAACCAACAAGATTCAAATTCTTCAATTGACTCAGTTAAGTTAACACATTTATGGAGCTCTGCTTCAAAATTTGGGTGTTGAGAAAGCACATGAGACAACTTCTCTTGGCATTCCTTAAAGATGTGCCACTTGCAAAAACGGTGACGAGTCTCTGGGAAAACCTGTGTAACAGCCAAACAAATCACCCTATCATGATCGGTGGTGATGGAGATGGGAGACCGACCAGACATTGCCATGAGCCATGTTCTAAACAACCAAATAAAAGATGCCTCTGATTCATTAATCAGAAGAGCACACCCAAACAACACAGGATGTCCATGGTGGTTCACTCCTGTGAAAGGAGCAAAGGGTAACCTATACCTGTTTGACCGGTAAGTGGTATCAAATGTCACAGTATCCCCAAAATAAGTATAATTAGATCTCGCATTAGGGTCAGCCCAGAAAATATTACTCATACACTGGTCCTCATCTCCCTGCACGGCATAGAAAAACGCCGGGTTCTCCAGATGCTTCTCTTTCAGATAATCCAATAAAATCTGTGTGTCACCCCCAAGAGTCCTCTGCTTACTACTTCTCATATAATTCCTACAATCACGCTCTGTAAACCCAACGTTGCTAATTCCACCATACTCCTTAATCAGAGCCAACATAATTCCACTGGGACCAATACCAGCCCCCTGTAAAGTATCAATCAACGACTTTGCAGCCCCAGAAACATGGCGGTGAGAACGGAGACAATGCACCTTATCGGGCGGAACAAGCTCATGGTTATGCTCTTTCATGAATCCCCATACAACCCACCTACCAGAATCCTGAATCTTGATCACTAGCATAGCTTTACATCCTACCCTAGTCTCGGCCCGAGGCCGCTTAACCCTACCACTATCGCGGCCTGGCTTCTCCTTTTCGACTCGAAACCCTTCCTTAGCACAAACAAATGATCTTTGTATAATTGCACCATCACGCCTCGACCTCCTTGACATACTAACCCTAGTACTAAACCCTACCCGCCGGGCATATGAGTTGTAGAAGGATTTAGCTGCCTCTTCGGACTCAAATTCCATTCCTTCATAAGGTTCGAGGTCCATATCTCCCTCAGGAACACAAATTTCAGCACCACCACCACTTCCGCCACCCACTCCGCCACCGTAAGAGCAATCAAGGACATCCTTATTGTCATCGCCATCAACAGGATGTTCAATGTCAACCGCATCATCTCCAAGTCCAATCATATCGAATTCAATCACATCGTTACCCATTCCCAGCGGTTCAAACTCCATTTTGGGGCTTATAAGCACTACAGTTTCTGCTAATTATAACACCAAAATAAAACAAACCCTAAAGAAGATAATTTGCAAACGAAAATCAAGTACGAACAGGTACAAGTGAGAATATATATATATATAATTATGTGTACTGACCGTGGATTATGAAGAGACTATGCACTGAACATGTGATCTTCCAGATACACGAAGCTCATAGACATAGTATTAAGAGTCATACGGACTTATATCGAAGAAGTAAAAGGTTTAATTTCGCGGGGGGGGGGGGGGGGGGGTGGAGGAGAGTTCGTTAGGTTGCGGACCACTGAGTTGAAGAATTAAGGGAGAGAGAGAGGGGCTAGCTTGGGGAGGATGGATCTAATTGATATTTCATATTCGAGTTAATTACAAAATGCCCCCTGATCTTGTTTCAATTTACTCCCTCAGGTTTTTAATTTCAACAATTTACCCCTTTTGCTTAGAACATTGCCTCAATTAACCCATCACCGTTAACTCTTCCCGTCAAAAATAACGGAACCTAAGCAATGAATATCAAGTGACCTAACATTTATCCTAATGAATCCTTCAATCTCACTTTCTCTTACAAACCTACTACGTTCATTTCAACCCTAATGAACCCCCCTCGAGAATCAACCTCTACCCCATCACTTGATGGTTCGAGCAAACACAAGCCCCATTTAAATCCAGCAGTCACCTTGTCGTCACTCGCTCCGCCATAACCCCCTTCCCATAAATCAACCAATAACCACCATGAGCAATCCCATCGAATTAGTAATAATAGGGCACAAGTCTAATTAAAACAATTTAGTCTATCTCGAACTTACAGTGGGCAAATTATTGAAATTAAAACACGAGGGAGCCGATTGAAACATAACTTATAATTGAAGGGGCATTTTATAAGGAATTCTTCAGATTATGATGACATGATTAAAAACCCAAAAAAAAGGAGGGTTTGATGAGTTATTGTCAATTTAATTTAGGGCAAATTACTTCTAGATAGAATTAATTAGACAGATCCATCAACTACGAAGAATAACATCACCACCTCCACCTAATTATAGCATTAAACTGAGATTTAATGAAAGTCATGAAACGATCATTTCCCTCTTCCTTACGAGAGTAGTAAACTCAACTCAAAATAACACATAATTAAGGGTCTATTTAATGGAATAGATGGTACACTTTTATCCCTTTTTAAATAATTTCTTCCTTCTTTTGTGTTTTGATAAACGGGATGAAAAGTATGAATAATTAATTTTTTTTGTGTTTGGTAAGATGAAAAAAATATTTTTTTTCAAAAAAAATTTAAATACATATTTTATCATTATATTTATATACGAAATTAATATATACATAATATGTAATTGATAAATATGATATATGTATATATTAAAAAATATATAGATAAATAACATACATTTCAACACATATAATTAATTTTCTATCCATTTTTTCTTTTAATTTTAGAGGGATTAATTTTAGTGAATTAAAAAGAAAAATCATTCATCTATTTTTTTATCCCTCCTATTTTTCTTATTTACCAAACATAATATTTTATTTATTCCTCTAATTTTTTATCATACCAAACAAAACATAAATCATAACCCAAACACAAAATAATATCTTGACTCCGTCCTATGTTCACCACCAAGGTTATATATTCTCTAACTCGCTCTCTCTCGACTCGACATCCCTCCACAACAACTTACACTACATCAGGCGAGTTGGGTAGTCATTTTGATTTTATTTTGCTATTAGAATATGCGTGAAGAATAGGTTTGCTTGCAATTACTGTGGCTTCTTGAACCAAATGAGTGAATCCAAATATTCCTTTCCTCCTGAATCTAATTTTTACTTTTTGCTGATTAATGCTTCGTTTGATACGATGAAAAAATGAAAGGATAAAAAATTTGAGAGATAAAAAGTTGGAGGGATAAATAAAACATTATATTTGGTAAAGAAAGAAAATAAAAAGGATGAAAAAATTGATGAATTAACTTTCTTTCCAACTCACCAAAATCAATTCCTCCAAAAACGGAAGAAAAATAGATAAAAAGTTAATTATTTATGTTGAGATGTATCATATTTGTTTACATATATATTTTAGGCAGCGGCTCGACAGCCTCTAAATTGACACGTGCAATAATATAGCCGTTATCGAACCCAAATGGACGTGGGTAAGAGCGTCAGACATTAAATATTCAGATGGGACTTAAAACATTTGCACTCATTGTTAATCAAAGTATAAATACACATCAAAGAAATAAACAAATATACACAAAACTAAACTGAAATAAAATATACACTGCGCTCAAGCCTCCAATCTTATACTGACTTAAACTTCGGAGAGAATAAGTCGGGTGTTCACCCGGCCCCTTTTCTGACCCTATGGATGTTTCAGGTTCACCATACAGAAGATCGTTAAGAGTGAAAATTTTTGACTTAACATGACTCAAACTCGACATGAATTTTATGACATAAACTTGATTAACTCGAATACAAACACGAACACGACACAAAAATAAAAAGGTCAACTCGTAACTCGACACGACACAATTAGTTAAATGAGTTGAGTTAAGTATAACTAATATTCGACACAATCCCGTAATGATTCAACACAAATTTAACACAACACGAATCGATTGTCACATCTAATCTTAACCAACACAAAAAAAAATTAATCATTTTTATATTTCATTCATCCAACCAAACACAAAAGAAAAAAAATGTATCCTTCCTACTTTTTTTTTTAAAATATAAAAAATATATATCTCCTACTTTTCATCCTATCTATTAAACGGCGCATACGAGAGATATGAGATTCTTAAAGATCTGACAAATCATTTTGGGCACGTGTTGTGTTCCGTTTCGGCTAGAAAAATCAAGCCCGATAGTCGGGCTGGCCAAAAAACTGGCACACCTATCTCAAGCCCGAGGAGTCGTGGCACAAGCCACAACACTACCTCCAACCCAGGGACTGGCCTGAAGCCCTACCCTGTGTGCAAGGTCAACCTTCCAACATGCCCAATATAACCTGCTCATCAACAACAGTAATGGACCATGGGTGGAGCTATGGTGTAGGGCCCTTACCTGATACCCGGCCAGCCGACTTCACGGCTTGGGCTTGGCCCAACACTAGCCGATCCGGCACCGTCCGAAAAATTTGCCAGGTTGTGTGCTTGTCCGGGATCATGAACACCCCTAAACACTTTTGAATGCAACCTACTAAAGTTAACAACAAAACTGCCAACCTCTCTTTCCAACAGATGAAATGACAAATATGTTTTAAAAACATACATAGCAAAGCATTCAAGTATCACTGAAGTTTATCAAAAAAAGAGGTTTCACTGAAGAGATTTTTAAAAGCATAAATAGCAAAGCATTAACAAATGCATTACTTAGGTCCTAAGGTCTACAGTCAGCCTGAGAGAGATACAGTGGCAGGAGGAGCATAATTCCATCCAGACCGAGAAGAGTTGAACATACCATAGAAATTCTTATGTGGTGTCAAGCAATTGATTAAGGTGCATACTGGGCGAAGATCAGAGATTAAAATCAAGCTACTAGCCACATGAAGAAGGTTGACCAAAGAGTCATTGCAACTGATGCCAAGGTGTATGTCCACAGTAAAATAACAGAACATTCAGTCTCGCCAGCTCCAAACAATTGAGTCATTGTTCCTGCCAAAAGAAGTGGCATACGGGGAATGATCACATGTTGTCAAACGATAAAAAGGATATAAAGACTCATGTTCCAGCTCTCTACCTTGCCACAGATATGCACGAGGAATACGGTAGTGATGCAAATAATAGCATAGATTCACCACAAAAAGGAAGTCAGATTGGAAGTAGAAAAGAGACACTAATACATTAAGCTTTTGATCAGTGATGAAAGTCAGAATCTTGGAAAGATACTAGTCCATAGTCAGACTCGATGCAACAATGAAGTTACAGATTTACAATATCTACTCATCGAACCTACGCTCATTACTAGTAAAAGTGCATCTACAATAAGAACTGATACGATGGACTTGGCATACCTATATTCATTGCTGGTGGAAGAGCAAATTGTAAAAGAAGAACAAACTGATATAACGGATCTGCTTGCACCAGGCCAAAATGAATTGCCCCTTTAACAATAATAATACCCAACAGAGGCAGGAAAATATACCGAACTGCGATTATTCCAACAATTAGAGACAGCTGAATTCCTGACCCTTTTAGACCTGAAAAACAAACCTGTATATGGTAAAAAAACTCTACTTTGCCAGACAGAGAGCAAATCTCAACTTGATAATTAATTTCAGATGTCAGAAAAAACTAAAACTGAATTTGCAAATCACCTTTTAGAAGGTTGGCTCCCACTATCAGTGTGACAGTTGGAATTGCTGCATCCCTTCAATATAACGGATAAAAAAGGAAAAAAAGCAAGTTATCAAGATTTCCTATATAACAAGCAACAAAACAGATATAGGCTGAAAGTCACAACAAGTTTGTAAAGGAATGCACACTCAACCCAACAGAACAACGTTAAGTCTTGATCTATAACATATGTTTCTAAACAACTGTCTTTTCTCAAAGCCCCAGTTAACTAGACATTCATTTTTCCAGACACACAGAGAGATGCTCTGACAATCCCTCCAGGGGAAAGGGTGAATAGAGCTATCTCACTTTGAAAATTAAGTTAAACCCAGGGTTGGTCGCCACGTCACCCATTGCCAATTGGTCTTTGGTGTTGGGTGCTCTAACATGGTAGGTCCTGTGTAGTTAGTGGGCCAAGTCTCTCACCCAGTTGAATTCCTCAATTTGTTTTTCGTCTGTGCTTCAGTTAAGCTCCATTGTATATTTGTTTTTCTGTCAGTTTGGCTTGTGAGCCCAATTTCGAGTCCAGGTCCCATGTGAAGGAGGATGTGAAAGAACTATCCCACATCAAAAAATTAAGTAGATGCAACGTTGGTTTATATATTTGTCGGACCACTCCACCCATTACCAATTGGGTTTGGGTTTAATGCTCTAAAAGAAAGAAAAAAGGTAACATAAAAACTAAGATCTTATAACCTTCGTCTTAAGAGAACACCCTAAGAAAGATCTTGGCAAAAGCTATTGCTTCAGTCATTCAGTAGCCTCAAGTTAGAGTAAACATCAAGAGGAGAAGCCAACTTCACAAAAACAACACCACTTTAATTGACTTAAAACTCACATTGTTACACAGAAGACTTGTGGCCATAAAAACCAGATATAAACTTGTACAGGAAATAACTAGGATTGCGAGAGAGAGAGCCAAGACCTTGAAAATTCAAATATTATAAAAAGAGGTCAATAATCTGGTGGAAAATGTTGACATTCTTAGCACTGATGTGCTCAAAGAACACACCGTTAGGCAAATGTGAATTCTGTACTGAGCTTTCATGCGTTGTTTACTGAGATTTTACATATTATCATTTGGATGAAAACAACCTTCTATATTTTGTTTATTTTCTTATTAGTAAACAAATTTATATCTTTGACAATGCAAAAAGGTAAAATCCGATGCACATCCCAAAGGGGAAACATATTCAATAAATCAATGACAGGAACAATAATTAGACCTTGGATAACTAAGAAACAAACGTACACTTATTATTCTGAAAGGGAAAGGAAAGATATACCATTTGTATCACTTCTTGGCCGGCAGTGCATAATTTGGCCACTAGACACATCGAGTATGAAACAGTGAATATTCACTTGGAGCCTATTGGGTTGTATGCATGCCACTTATATTTCTACATGATAATATGCCAAACTCGGAATTTCAGTTCACCGTGTTCAGAATGGTGCCAACCATTTGGTTGTACTTGCTGCCAAGTTCGAACAATCACATAGCATATTCAAACAATAAAATGAAAATTGAAAGAAAGAAAAGTTTGCCTTTAATCTTTGCTCTTCTAATGCAGTATACAAATTCTAGAAACAACCCAGAGGCAAGGCATAACACTTTATATAATGTCACGAGTAATTGGTCCTATACAAAAAAAAGGAAAATTGGATACATACCCCAGCAAGGAAGCAGAATCTTGGACCACGCGAAGAGGAGCAGTACCACCAATAATTAACTTTCGGAATAGGGGAACTAATCCAATGACAAACCCAGCAAGCTACACAAAAAGACAATAACTATTTCAACAGTGAGATCCCATGTTAGAACTTCTTCACACTACACGAAGGAAAGTAAACGACAGTATCATAAGTGAGTTCCAATAATCCCCCAAACACGCTTAACAACGTGATAAATACATTCCTGTGCTTGATAAAATATTACCCAAGTGGTACATAAGACGAATTATCCAATTATAAAATACCAACTATTCACATCAAATCTTTGACTCTGTGAGTGTAAATTTCAAAATGATAGACCCGTACCCACTATTTCACAAGGTTGTACACCTGATGAGTGTCACTATATGCAATAAGCTAGCTCCCTGCTTGTAATGATGCCCATTATTGATTACTAGGGGAAATTGAACACCTTCTGACCCTTAACCATTAAGACAATATAATTTGTCCCTAACATGTTGTGCCCTTCCCAGCCAGTAAAAGACTGAGAAGGACTGGAACTCCAAAATCATCTGATTTTCTAGGTTTGCCACTGTCAATATCTTGTAAATATGAGAACCAAAATATAATAAAATGAAAAAGAAGTTGAACAGAAAAACTAATAAGGATAGAAAGTATACCGCTCCAATAGTTGAAGGTGCAAATAGCGCATTCAGATTAATCTTTCTTGAAAACTTCCCTAAATTTTGTTTTATCTGATCCAAAACCTGGTACAAAACTAACAGTCAAAGAACATTCATGTTGCATATTTTGTGGGGCACATAACATTTATTGATGTTAAAATTATGCTAATGGGAAAATTCAATGCTCTTGAATGCACTAGTTTCACCCTCGCATCGAGGGAAATGTTAGTTTTTATCCAACATGCATGACCTGACACCATTTTTTTGTACTCGAACGTTCGTGCTTACAAATCAAATAGCTCTATGTGGGGAAAATACAACACTTCACGTGTAGGATCTTTCAACTCAATTATACATGAGGAATCGCACGCTAGACCTAGAGGGGGTGAATATTTTAATTTAAAATTAAGCTCGAATGACCTCCCATTTTAACCTATATCTACAACAATTAGCTCTTCTCAATCAAATATAGAAACTAATGATGAGAATCCCTTTTCACATGAACAACCTAAAACATTCATGTAGATTAGTGTATTGATTTTATCAATTTGTTGATTAACACTCAATCTCACATGACGATCCTAACCAAGGCAACTCAAACCCAATCAAGCAACTATTTGTGTTACGTAGATTCAAATAATCAATTCATCAAACACATAGTGCCCTTGTGTGTATCAAATCACAAGTGTATATGTAAAAGCAATAAAGAATACAAATGATTTATTGACGCTGAAATCCTTCATGAGAAAAACCGCAGGAAATTTTCTCGGTTCACCAAAGTCAAATCCATTAAACCCAAAAACAATCTACAAGTACTCAAGACTTATACATCAACCAATCTACATGGCTAAATGCTCCTTTGACGTTATGGCTAACTTCACTTGAACTCTTCGCCGCACAGTTCATTTAGGCCTCAAGCAACCTTCAAAGCTTCACACCCAAGACCTCGGTATGCACACTTCTCTAAGTGGGTTTTAGTTGATACCAAGTAAGATCTTCTTCTTCAATGTGTGAGGTTGAATGGAAGAATCAAAATAGTTGCTCCTTAATCTTAGGGATCTAGGGTTGTTCTTAAAACACTCTAGAAGGATTTTTAGTCTATTCTAGCTCAAAGATGCTTACCCTAGGTTTAAGATATAGCCCCATATATATAGGATACAAAATAAGGTTTGTCTTGGGAATCAAGAAAACACAGATTCACGTTGGCCTTTCAAGCAGTGGAAGGGTGGTCGTAGAGTGGTGGTTGCTAGAGTAAAAGATCATTCTACACCTCTAGACAGCTCGAGCGGTGGAGGGCGGTCGTAGAGCGGCCATCAATCGGTCTCCACTGATTTCTCTAATTTTATCTCCCTAAATGTTTCAGAAACCACTCTAGGAAAGGCTAGCGAACATAGAGTAATTGCTACTAATTTTTAAGCTGAAAACCAAGTAAAAACTTGACCTATTGAACATTAAAAGGTGTTGTCCAAATAGGGTTTGATAAATGACTCAACTATGTTTTCAAAATATATAAATGGTTTAGAAAAAATTTTCTTTTAAAATCACCTAGAAGTCATAATCGGATCGTTTTCAATTCCATTTTCATCCTAATCAACTTAAGTTAAAATTAGCTAAGGGTTCATATTAGATGTTTATGTCATTACCTTTATCCTAAGCATCAAGATATATACGGAGGTTGAATGATATAACTTTGACACTTGATCTCCTCCTTTCAATGACGCTTTCGAATCTTGAACTTGATAGCATCATAACCATGGAATAAGTTGAGATTTTACAATGGACTCCACTAAATTAGTCAATTACAAATATAATTTAACACTCTAATTCCTGTAAAAGAGATGCATGAACTTTTTTATCCATTCTTCTGAGGTGACTCACCTCAAATAAGATCGAAGACGCTGGTAAACCAATGCATAATAGCTCATGGAAGTAGCAAAGCTCTTGAGGCAAAACACCAAAAAATTAAAAAGAAAGTATGCCAATAGGGCTATATGACTGAGACAAAGGGTAAGGGCGTTAGATTGAGCTTTCACTTCTTTGTTGAGGATATTTTCAATTGGTAAACTGAAACCATATGACTCAGAATCGATTGTTGAATAAACCAATTGAAAATGAAATTAGGGTGTCAGGCTGGCAACAAAGAGTCAAGATCCAAAACTGTAATGCACAACAGTTCTTCCGAGGCAAACTTACCAGGCTTTTAATTCAAGCAGTATATTTTCCCTGTTTCTCCAATTCTAATATAACATTAGCTAGTACAAGATACTTGGTACAACAAACCATTGAACAACACATATTTGGTGAGGAGGTGGTGTAAGCCAACCTTTAATTTTCCTTTACTGGGCAGCAAAAACTCATTTGCATGGTCCACAGAGAGATTCTGATGTTGCAATTTGGTGTGGTTTCCTAAGAGAGGTTCTGATGTTGCTTCAGTAGACTTCATACTGATAGTGGAATCATCTGGGCCAATACTTTCAGGGACCTTAGTTGAGGACACCCGCACAATGTTGTAAACATAAGACCACAAAAAAATTGCTCCTACCTGAAGTATCAACATGAGCAAAGATTAGACTCACTGGAGATTTTAGCCCAGACATGTACAGAATTGTTCAGAGAATTATATGTATGCTTGCGTGTGTGGTTTATATTTTTTTTTTGCTATTGCAGCAAGAAATTACAGAGATTATTATTAAGCAGAATGTTGAGTTTCGCTCATCAACAAAGTTGAATTGTAACTTATAAGTCAAATAAGATGAACTGAAGAAAAGGTGAGTAATACAAGAATACAAGGTTCGCAAATATTTAACCACAAATACCAAGTATATTTAGTTGGCACCTTGCCATTAGTTCAGCATATTAAATCCAAAACCAAAAAGAAGCTACTGATGACGTACCGCCATAGAAAGTGAAGCATAAGACATTCCATATGCATGGCAAATATCAGGTGCTCCAAATGGACTAGCTTCTTCTCTACAAATTGCTGGGATGATGATTAGAGGCAAGTTCCCCAAGTTTCCTGTTGACATCAACTCAATGCATGAAAAGGTAATGGATGCAGTTATGTAGAGTAGATATACTGTCAAATTACCAATTGTCTCCTCAAGTTGACAGACCAACAGAGAGGCATTTACTATGCTAAGCAGTATCAAATATTTATGGCTTTTGTTATGTATCTATATGGAACCATTACCACTTGAAGTGGTAAAATACCTAAGCTAGCAATCGTGGAGGTTTTTGGTTCAATTCCAAGAGCAATCACTTTGCGCAAATATTGTCATATGTCATATCTGTACCTAGTCTACCCATCCCAGCCTCCTTGGTTAACAGGAACAAAATTGGTAAATGTTATTTGACATGTTTATAACAAAAATTCTTAGAAACTTCGGTCACAAGCTTTTTTTCTGACGGCACATTTTATTGAGTCAGAAGTTTTTTTGCTTTTTGCTTTATGTTTCAAAATATAAATCAAAGCAACCAAAAAGACAATCTATCTGGAGTTTGGATTAAAGCTCCCTTATCTGTTAAAGATTCACTTTCCTATTTTACTTTCGTATTACGTCACTTTCCAACTATGTTCTACTTTCCTAATATTGAAACTATCTTTAATATCAATTTAATTTGCATATGTGATAAGGTTTTGGTAACACATCTTGCACATATTATTTTCTCAATCTCTTTCTCTCTTCTCTTACTTCTTCTCTCTCCTAAACTTACACCCTAATACTTGATTATTTTAGTTTCAACTAGGCATCAGAGCATTGTTTCTCATCTTCTCTTCTCTTGTTCCCATCTTTTCTCCTTTCTTTCTCTTCTCTACCCACTGTTCATCGCAATTGTTCATAGGTTACTGTTCATTGTGAAACTTTGATTGCTTGTATGAAGATTTTTGGATCCTAAATCATGTCAGATAAGTTGTGATGGCTGGTGGTTGAGTTCCTATTGTTGTAAGTGTTTTTCGTCACTGTTGAGATTACAATTGTCTCATTGTTATAGTCTTTGTTCTGTCTTGTTCTTGATGATTGGGTAACAATTTTGTAGAAAAGAAGTGTTTTAGTAAAACCCTTATATGTGCTTGTATTTGACCCATTTTTTTTTAGGTGGTTTTGTTTTGGGTGTTTCTCGCGCTTGTGTATCTTTTTGGGTAGCTCCAGTGGTGGATAGGCTACCTGGTTGTGTTTGAGCACATTATGGTTAGACTCATAGCTTCAATGCGTGCGGATGGAGAGGGATTCAAACCCCCGATATTCTTATCAATACTTTTGTTTTCAAGACCGACTCTTTCAACCGCTCAGACATCCATCCCCTTCGCACTTCGCTTGCCCTATCTATCCGCGCACCGGCAGTTAGGAGATTATCTATGTGATTCACTATGTTTACTTGCGCCTATCGACAAATTCTATTGCCTGTTGGTTAGCGAAACTTTTTCAGTAGTACGAATCGCTACACTTCGCCTATTTTTATATGAGAATATTTTTGGCTAATTTTGATTCTTTCTAAGTTATTTTGTGTAATTGTTGATTGTTTGTAGATTATTGTTCTATTTGGTCCCTATTGTTGCATAGTTGACATTGGTTTTCATTATGGAAATTTTGAAGGATGTAAAAGCCCCCTTCAGTGGATCATCAGGTTATAGTTGTTCATTCAATGGATGATTAGACTAGACAGATCACTTTTGTCTCACGTCTTCGACATGCTTCTCTTAATCATATGGCTTCTTCATCTACAAGAGTACTCTACCTCAATATCTATTGAGAATAATAGTGATGGTCATGGTGGCTGTGGTGGTGGTCATTAGCAATGGTGGACATTATGTTCGTTCTAGTTGTGGTAATCATTCTCAATGGAAGTGTACTTATTGTGGTGGCACAAGACATATTGAAGATTATTGTCTGTATAAATATGGGAGACCAACATATGCTAATCAAGCGTCTAATGATACTTGGAATTCTCGGATACATCAAACTTTACTGATGGTCCAGTTGCATCTATTTTTGTTTCTCATGATGACCTTTCTTCTCAACTTGGTCAACTCATCGAACAGTTATGATTTTCTAATCAACCCTTTAATATTGTAACCAAACAAACCCCCAAAGGTATTTTTGGTACTTTTATGGTTATATATATTAGGATGTACCTATGTAAGCATAACACACTACACTTTTCATATAATCGTTTCTTTCTCTTAAATCTTTCTTCTTCTCCTCTAAGCCCTAACAGTCTTGCAAACGAACTGTATATACACCATCATTTAGTTTAACTCCTCGTGTCTTTAGTTATATGGTCTTTGTCCATCTGTTTGGTTCTGGTTGTGACAAACTGTCACCTCTCTCAGTCAAGTGTATCTTTTTAGGATATCCTCATACTCAAAGAGGTTATCAATGTTATGATCTCATCTCTCGTTGCTACCATGTCAGGGCTGATATTACGTTTCTTGAATCATCTCCCTTCTTTTATGTGTCAGCTCATCACCTTGTTGCAAATTTGACATCTCTTAGTCGAGGAGCTTTTGTTACCTACTATTCCAAACTTTATGACTTCTCTTCCATCAGTGTTGGCTCCTCCACTACAAGTTTACCATCGCTCCAAGGATAGACAAGTTGTGTCGTATGCTCCAACACTACAGCTAACACAGACTTCTATTGAGGTCTAGCCTCCAAAGTCACGTGTTACTCCATCGTCTTATGATCTATCCATTGTATTACAGAAAGATACTCATAGTTGTACACATCCTATTTCTAATTTTGTCTCATTTCATCTGCTTTCCTCATTTTATTTTGTTTTGCATCATCATTATCTTTCGTATTTGTTCCTAGCACTTTCAAACAAGACTTATCATCTCCTAGATTGACAATGGATGAAGAAATTAAAGTCACGTGTCACGTGTTACTCCATCGTCTTATGATCTATCCATTGTATTACAGAAGATACTCGTAGTTGTACACATCCTATTTCTAATTTTGTCTCATTTCATCAGCTTTCCTCATTTTATTTTGTTTTGCATCATCATTATCTTTCGTATTTGTTCCTAGCACTTTCAAACAAGACTTATCATCTCCTAGATTGACAATGGATGAAGAAATTAAAGTTCTTCATGAGAATCAGACATGGAACCTCATTTTGTTTCCTCCTACTAAGCAACTTGTTAATTGTCAGTGGGTATATATTGAAGTATTTTCCGCTGGTTCTATTGAGCACTTAAAGGCGTGAATAGTTGTCAAAGGATAATTTAGACATATGGTGTGGATTATTGTGAGATCTTTTTTTTATGTTGCTCTTCTTTACTCTGTTAGAGTTTTACTTTTTGTTGTAGTGAATTTGGATTGACCTTTGTATCAACTAGATGTAAAGAATATTTTTTTACATAGAGATCTATCGGAGAAAGTACATATGGTTCAGCCACCGGGATATGTAGTTTCTGGGAAGGAATGAATAGTATTTCAGTTGAAAAAAACATCGTATGGCGTGAAGCAATCACCAGTGTGTGTGGTTTGATAAATTTAGTGCAATTGTGCATCAGTATGACTTTTGTTGTGATGACTTGTATTCAAGTCAATTGTTTTTTTATATGGACTTTAATTGAAGACATGAGTTTTCATTGGAGTCCTTGATGGATAAGTTTGACCTTAATTAGGATTATCTTGGTTTTATTATTTTAGTGGAGTTTAGTCCAACATGGACTTTTGTTATTTAAACTCAAAACCTTCGAGGAGTCTTTGATTTTTTGTCCTACACGTGAGACCTCCTCAGCATAAAGACTTTGTGAAAAAATCAAATTCCTTAGTCCAGAAGCTAGATAAAAAAGACGTCTTCTCCAGTGAGTTAGTGGTTGGCCATTGACGACGGTACAAGAGTTTTCTTTGTGTGTGATAAATTGATATTGCTCTATTTTGTTAAATCCAATAAATATTTTATTATTGGAATAGAGCAGATATCTAGTTTTCTCTTTGATTTGTTCTGAGAACGTTGTAATCTCCAACCTTTCAATAGTGAAATTTTGGCATTATGTTTCGTTCGTAGATGTAGGCTTGCTTGTGAGCCGAACCACGTAAATCTTTGTGTTCTATTTTTCTATTTCGTTGCGTTATTATTTTACTTGTGATTTTGTTTATAACAAATTGGTATCAGAGCTATTGGTTTCGGGATGGCTACCGCAAAATTCGAGATAGAAAAATTTAATGGTAAAAAAAATTTAGTTTATGGCAGATCAAGATGAAGGCATTGCTTCGTCAGCAGGGTTTGGCAAAGGCCATTGATGGAACTTTATCCAAGGAGATAGATCAAACTAAAGTTGTTGATATTGAAGAAAAAGCACACAGTGCAATTCAGTTGTCTCTTGCTGATGAAGTTCTTCATGAGGTTATCGATGAAGACAAAGCCGAAGGGTTATGGAAAAAGTTGGAGAGTTTATATATGAAGAAGTCTTTCGTCAACCGCTTGTATCTGAAGCAACGGTTGTACACACTCAAGATGAAAGAAGGTACGCCCATTAATGAACATCTTGATGAATTTAACAAAATTATTATTGACTTAAAAAATATTGATATTAAAATTGGGGATGAAGATCAAGCCCTTATTGTGTTATGCTCGCTGCCTGATTCATTTGATAATTTTGTTAATTCAATGTTGTATGGGAGAGACTCAATCTCTTTAGTTGATGTGAAATCCTCTTTGAATTCTAAGGAGTTGTGTACTAAATTGAATAGTAAGGACAGTGATACTCAAGCCGAGGTTTATTTGTGAAGGGTCGTCATGATAATTCCTCTAATAATAATAGAGGTCGATCCATTGAAAGAAATTCAGATAAAGGAAAAAAAAAAGTTGGATATCGATCACAGTCTAGGAAGAAACAGAATAATGTTGAATGTTTTTATTGTCATAAAATTGGTCATTATAAGCGTGATTGTTTTAAGTTGAAAAATAAAGGGGGACAAAAAAATTCAAATCCTTCTAATTCCTCTAGTGTTGCAGAAGATACATCTGATGGTTCAGATAATGTCCTTACAGTCTCTGATGGACGTTTTAATGA